ATTTGTCAGGCCATAAGAACAAAGGAGACTCAGCATCTCCTCATTTATATAAGTCAATCGACCAACAGAATTATGGATTATTCTGTGAATTATGACCGTGTTGTTAGTCAATACTCTTTCCGTTGCAAAGGTCCAAAAAATTCAAATTAGCTTAATAAAGCTTTGCACAGTTGAATCTTGGGGTCTCAGCCATGTCACCAGGGTCCCTGAAGATGCACATTCTACCAAATTTAGAATTCCAGTGGACAGATGGCTTTTGCTCATTAGCTCTGGCTGGAAAGTCCCAGGAAAATTCTAAGGGGATGTTTAAATTGGCCAAACTTGGGACACCTGTTACCTCTGAGCCACAGGGAATGGATGTCCCATGGGAAAGAGGATTCTGCCACTTGATGCTGAGATGAGAGAGGCCATGTGCTAGGACAAACCTTCCCCCAAGATCCACTTGGCCCTGAAAAAGGAAATTTCCAGATGTCCTACCCTGAAAACTTTATGCTCCATGGGGCTGGGGTTGTGGCTCAGTGGCAGAGCGCTTGCCTTGCACGTGTGAGGCACTGGGTTCGATCCTCAGCACCACATAAAAATGGATAAACAAAAAACTTTATGCTCCAGGCGAAACACAAGATGAACCCAAATTCACAAACACAAATACTAGAGACAGGAGAGGGCAAATATGCACCGCTGAGCCTCAACCTGACGAAAAGACACTGATCTGACTGGGGATCAGTAAAGCGAGAGTGTGAGGTGCTGAGCTGGTCTCCGAGTGACTGGAGGGCCTGAGATTGGATGACTCTGGTAGGGGGAGGCTTCCAGAGACAGGTTCCAAAAAGGGGAAGCATGAAAACCACTTGGTTCAAACAGGATAACAGGTGTGACCACGTCGTCCACTGTGGACTGCTACACACAAAGCAAGGAGTGTGAGCAGAGCTTCCCAAACTAAGGAAGGGTACGAGAAGCTGAAGGTCAGCCTGGCAGAGCAAGAATATAGACTCGGAAGCCAGAAGCCCTGAACTCAAGGCCTCCCTTTAAAATCAGATAGATGGAGAAGAGAGGACACACCTGGCGCAGAGTGTGGGTCAGTGGTGGAGGCTTGCCTAGCAGGCGGCAGGCCCGAGTTCCATCCCCAGCACGGCAGAGAGAGGGAGAGAGAGAAGGCACAGAGCACTCAGCACAGTGCCTGGTACTTGGTGAGACTCCACAGCGTGGCTCCGGTCCAGGGTTGCCAACAGCAGCCTGCAGGAGCAAAGGGAGCAAGGCTGACGCAGTGGCAGGGCTGACCCAGAAAACCAAGCCAGCGTGGAGGCAGACCAACCCACTCCAGGGTGGCTCTGCCGGGATGCCTGGCGCTGCACATGAGAGACTTCCAGGAAACCTCTACTGAACCTAGCAGATGGCAGCCCCAGGAATGAAAATGCTCGGGGTTTAGACACTGATGAGGGCTGAGCAGCCTTGTGATCATCTAAAACACACTGTACTGTGCATGGAAAGAGTAAGTTTTATGACGTGTGAATTGTATCTCAATTAAAAAAAAAAAGTAACTGAAGGCTGGCAGGCTGGAGCAGAGAGCAGAAGTCAGAAAGGGGCGGAGCGTGGAGTTCAGTCGGAATGTGGCTGAACCCCTTGCTTTCAAACTGTCCTCGCCCCTGCCCACACCACACAGACTCTGGGCAGTTCCAGAGTTGCTGAGATCTCAGATGTAAATAATTGTCACCCACCAGAATGAAGTCACTTAGGGCATCCTAGTGCCAAGTGTCGTGAGTTCCAGTATCCCTGTCACATGCCAGGAGAAGCTGCCCAGCTAACACTGCACAGTCACGAGCTCCCGGGCCTGCGTGCTCATGTCCAGTTAAGAACAGTGTGGCCACTGTCCTAAACACAGGCTGACACAAGTGGCCAGAGCAGAGTCTCTGGGCTGAATGCAAGCCTCCTGATGCCTACAGCTGATACTGATAATGGTCATAGCAGCGATGACTAACATTTTTAGCACCAGGCATCATACTTCTGATTCCATAGAAGTTAGCACATAACTTTGAGGAGAAAAAAAATTATTACTGTACCCACTGGACAGGTTTAAAAACTGAGGATCCAGGATGTTCATTAATCTCACACCAGAGGAAGAAATGTGATGTCCAGAGACTGTCTTTTAATTACACGCTTAGAGTCAAATATTGCAAAAAAGGACAGTGTCCCGAAGGGAAATCGGGTTTCAAGAGCTGTTTGAGGGGAAAGGGTCAGATGGCGAGGAGCCTGTCCCTTTCTGCCTTGTACAATACCTTTGATTTTAGCAATGGATGCATCAAAATCTGGAATTAATAAAAAGTGTGTGTGTGGCTGAGTTCAGTGGTACACACCTGTAATCCCAGTGGCTCCAGAGCCTGAGGCAGGAGACTGCAAACTCAAAGCCAGCCTCATCAAAAGCAAGGTGCTAAGCAACTCAGTGAGACCCTGTCTCTAAATAAAATATAAAAAAGTGCTCAGTGGTTGAGCACTCCTGGCTTCAATCCTTGGTTTAAACAACAACAACTGTGTGTGTGTGTGTTTATGTGTGTACATGTACATGTGTCCCTGGGTGTGAATGCTGAACACAGGAGGGGCTGTGGGTAACTCAGTTCTAGAGCCTTCCAAAGCATGCAGTAGGCCCTGGGTTCAATCCCCAGCACCACATCAGGGAGGGAGTGTCCTTAGAAAGTCTCTGGCCCTCTTACAGGTGTGGATTTTCTTTTCTTTCTTTCTTTTTTGAGACAGGATCTTGCTAAGTTGTCCCGACTGGCCTAAACTTGCAATCCTTTGGGCTCAGGCTCCCTAGCAGCTGGGATTAAGGGGTGCCCACACCTAAGCTGGTATGGATTCCCAGTGACTTTTGGAGCCTGGCTGGTGTTTCTAATAGTTTCATTGCTGTCTCATCATTGTCCTCGTGGACAATGGGCTGAGCTTCTGCCCCAACAGACCAAGTGCAGGAACACAGGAGACCACCAGCTTCTGCTGAGGACAGGCACACTCACAAGTTGCTGGAGGGTGGCTTCACTAACTCTGTGCCCACAGTTTGCCTGGGTCCATGGTTCTGTCTAAGGACCCCACCCTGGGCAGTGAGGGACCCAGGGTTCTGATTTCCCCTTCCAAAAGACTCCCTGGTCTGGATGGATCAAACTAGGCCCAGGATGGTGGCATCCCAGATCCCCCCCAAATACATAAAAGTTTTGGAAAGCCTGAAGCTGTAGGGGACAAAAACTTGGTCTCCTCCCACCTCAAAAAACAATTCATAAATGTAGAGAGAAGTGAAAACACACAAAGTGTCATTAGTATTTGCATAAATGTTTATTTATTACTGTTTTTATCCTGGACCACAGAAATGCATTCTCTCTGCTCGCATTTTTTCCTAGACTTCGGTGGCTTCATAATGTTCTTGGGGTCACTGGTAGAGCTGCCATAGGTCCCATGGCTACTGCCCTACGAAACGGGAAGTTCTCCTCCCTAAACCTCTGGTAAAGAGGTGTTCTGTCTATTCCTATGCAATCCTCTGAGAACTTCGAGTTCCACCTTCTTCCTTTGTTCTCTTTGGTAAAATTCCTGAGCAAGCAAGACAAAATCTGCACCTCAGTGTGACTCTAACTGGGACAAGTGGATATTGCTATTTACAGGATCTGCTGCTTTGGAGGCTGGAGACCTCTTCTCCAAAGTTTAGATCAAAGCTCCATTCCAGGCACAAAACATGATGAGTTAATCAAAAGCCAGAACATAGGCTGGGCCCAGTGGCACATGCCTCTAATCCCAGCAACTCAGGAGGCTCAGGCAGGAGGATCGCAGGTTTGAGATCAACCTCAACAATTTAGCAAGGCCCTAAGGACTTAGCAAGATCCTGACTCAGAATAAAATATTTTTAAAAGCACCAGGAATGTTGCTCAGTGGTGAAGGGACCCTGGATTCAATCCCTAGTACCTCCCACCTCCAAAAAAAGGAACATAGGATTACCATGTGATCCAGCGATTGCACTTCTGGGAACATGCCCAGAGGAATTGAAGACAGGAACTAGAACAGACACGTGAGCTTCTGTGTCCATGGCAGCATTACCCTCACCAGCCAAAGGGGGCAACAACCCACATACCTATCAACAGCCTGGGGGAGAAGCAAAATGGGGTCTACTCATACAATAGAGCATCACTCTGCCTCAAAAAGGTCCTCACAGAGGAAGCTTGAGGACGCTCTGCTTGGTGAAATAAGCCACTCACAGCCCTGTGACCCTCTGACAGAGCAGGCGGATTCACAGAGAAGAAGGTAGAAGAGAGGTGGGTGTGCAGGGGAGCCGGGGGGAGAGCACTTGCCTAGCTTGTGCAAGCCCTGGGTTGACCCCTAAAGAGAGCAGAGAAGTAGGACCAGGAAGTGGGGGGAGAAAGGCGGCTGGGGAGCTCATGTTTAATGGACATGAGTTTCAGTCTGGAGAGAACTGAGAGAGTTCTGGAGGGTGGCGATGGTTGGATTAGTGAAGGTACTAATGCCACTGAACGTACACTAAACAGCAAAAAAGCTAAGTTTTGGGTCACGTATATTTTACAGTCATAACAACAGCTCCATGTCCGCAGGCAGCCCTCTGGTGACGATGGTGGCCCCTGGGTGGAGAAGGCTGTCCTGGCTTCTGCCCCTGCGCCTTGTCCGGTTCAGCTCACTCTTCTGGAATTTTAATGATCTGACACTGCAGGGAGTTTTACACGAGAATCTTCCTGTGGCATAGTTTCTAGAGTCATCTGGCGGGGAAGAGTGCAGAAACAGAGAGCAGTAATGGACACCTTATTCATCACTTAGGAAATATTCATAGCTAAAAGTTCTTGGAAGGAAAAAATACTCGTGTTTCTCTTATATTTTCCCCTTCTCCCAGGCCTTCGCCTCTCATTGCTCTCCCCACTCACACGGGCTCTGTGATATCTGTGATATCCCTCGCGGGCCTACATTCAGAGAGGGTAGCGATTTGCCTGGTCTCTCCCCACTTCTCAGGGTTTCTTGCAAGGATCCCAGAAGCTATGCATGGGGAAACACATTAAAATAGAAAGAAATGTGTTTGTTCTTGAGACCTGCCTCTCCGCGACCCTGATTCTGCAGCAGGGACAAGCCGCCCTAAATAAAGCCAGGCATGTGAAGAGGGATCTCAAGAGCCAGCCTGTCAAGAGAGATCTGTTTGGCCCGGTTCCTTGGATCACACCACAGCCTTCAGTTTGTACATGCCTTTTGGTATGCCTGGCCCCACAATTCTGGGTCATTTGGGGGCCAACAGAGCTGCACATCCCTGGCATGTAGAGAATGAGCTCCCCATCTCCTGGAGCATTCAAACAGTGCAGACAGTCACCTCGAAGGGGATTCCTGCTTTGTGTAGAAGTGTGGAATTCTGAGGTCACTATTCTAGGAATCCAGTGGCTTCTTCATTGTTGGATAAGGAATCAATTGATTGGGAATCCAATATGGGCTCCTCCTTTTCCTTGAATGTGACTTGATCACAAGTACATTCCTAACCGCCCCCCCCCCCAGCTCAGTTGCTCCATTCGGGGTGATAATACACAATCTGCCTACCTGCCCCTGTTGTGAGGACTCCTAAAATGCTAATGAGCAGCAAACTAAAAACCTATAATTCTATTGCCATCCTAGAAGGAGTGGTGCTACCGCCATGACATGAGCAGTCCTCCCCGCTGGTCAGACGGCAGGACCAGTGGAATCCAGAGGAAGAGGAGCATACTGTGAAGGGAGCATGTTTCCCCACGAGTCATGATTCCTTAGGTTTGTCGCCTGTAGGTCTTGTGTTCTTTGGAGTGACCTTGAGCAGCATCTCTGGAACCTCATGAACATCGACTTTAAAAAAAAAAAAAATTGTCCAGCCAGGGCGTCATTCCCTAGCAGGGTTTCCTTCCACTTCTACACATACCAAAAAAGAAAAGTCAACCACGAGGCTTGCTGAATTAATGAACCACTTCTCTTATCTATTTTTCCTGTTATCTAATTCTGAGAGGAAAGCTGGGAGCTCCAGGGAGCTGGGAGACACGGCTCACAACGTCTCCCTCCCACCCGGCGGAGGACAGCCTGGAATCTCTGGGCTGGGGCCAGGCTGTCCCTGAAAGCTTGCTCCACCAGGCCTTGAGGCTGCAGGAACACCGCTCCCACTGTGGGTGAGTCCCCTCCTGGTCCTCCCCGCCACAGGAGGCCAGAAGGAGCGGCGGCCGACGGGAACTCACTGAATACAGGCCAGGTTGAGGGTCTGAGGGGGAGAAGGAGGGCAGGGCAGGGCCCCCGTGTGCAAGCCCAGGGCTGTGTGGGGGCCTCCCAGGCCTCTGCCGAGCTGAGAAAGGATGAGCGGCTCCAAGGCCAAGCCACAGAGGCAGGGCTCCCTGCTCCCTCTCTCTCTCTCTCTCTCTCTCTCTCTCTCTCTCTCTCTCTCTCTCTCTCCTTTTGTGTTTCTTTTTCTTACAGTTGGTTGGCATTTTAGTTCTCTGTTTCCTGGTCCAACGCCCCACTCCACCAGTCGGTAGCAGATGGGAGGGTTGGTTTCTCAAGAAAAAAACCTAATTGAATAAATATGGACCACACCAGAAACCAAGTGGGTTTGACCAGGTGTCTCGGAACCCTCTGTCTTTGCTCCATTCACCAAACCCAAATCACATTACCTTCCCCGGGGTCCCTGCTGCTGTTGGGGTCCTCTTCACCCCACTAGAAAACTCAGGCAAACCCTTCCTGGCCCCTGTCAGAGCTGGCCCAGTGTGCTTCCGGGCAAGAAAGCCTCCATAGTGTTTCCTGTAGGCTGTTTATTTATGGAATAGGTCTCAGCCTTCAGAATCTGAGGATTTTCTTTGCCTATTTGTAGGAAGGGTCAGTCAGCTTGGAGAAGGGTTTAATTTTCATTTATTCTGGAGCCAGATGTGATGGGAAGGAGTGTGGGATGTCTCTTCCCCAAGCCCACTGCTTGTTTGGGAAAATTTGAATATGCTCTTAGCTGCTTGTGCTTTTGCAGATCAGTCAAACTTACCTCTCCTTCCTCTAAAGCCAAAGTGTAGCAAATGAAGAAAAGCAGAAACACAGGGAGAGGCAGAAGGCATCTTTCAAGGGCTCAGGTGGAGAATGAGGAACACAGAGTTCTCCTCATTCAAGTTGTGCCTAGGAGATCCGGCTCTTGGGAGAGTCTGCAACCTACCCGGCAGCCCCTGCCTCCTCCCCCTCCAAGGCAGAAAAACAATGGCATTTTTAACTCTGTAGCCGAAAAAGGATTCAGCAACTGCTCTTCTGGCATGGGTAGGATTTGGTGCACTGGGGCAATGACTACAAATATTAGCTCTGCCAAGAAGAGAATGGAAAATATTTCCCTGTGGATATCTCTCCCTCTCCAACAGCCCTGTCAACTTCCAGCAGGTTGAATTCAAAAACTGTCTCAAAACTTACACTCATCTTTCCCGACTCTTTGACTTCCTCCTCCTGGCTCTTTTTCCCCCAGTGCCGATATACATACTCCTTATGTTTTCCAAAGAAAGGGAAATGAAATGGTTTTAGCTGGGAAAAATCAGCCAATCTGAATTGAAGGAAACCTTACTGTGTACAGCTGCTAGAATCTTGTGATTTATCATTACAAAATTGGATTTGCTTTTTTAGTAGTAGTTGTAGTAGCAAATATTTTGTTTCTGCTAGTCTTATTTGACAATTCAGCCCAGAGGAAAGGGTATTTTAAAGTCCTGTTTTATGAACTTTTTTGACAGAGTTCATTTTTAGCCACGTAGACATTGGCGACCATTTCCTTTTTCTTCTAAGAATGTGTCTCTGAAAGTGATTTTGCATTTATGAGGTCAATTGGCAAGGGAAAATATTGGTTTTCTATGGTTGGTATTGAGGATGTTAATAAATTGTTTTTATCCGTGTTCTGTTTTCAAACGCAATAAAATACCCATTTCCAATGGCTTTCTAGTGCCCGGTTATATTTGTCGAGTGATTTACAGGATAGAAAATTACAGTTTGCACGTGTGAAGTGCAGAAATGTTTTAGAGCTGGGAAGGGTGGGGAGGAAGGGATTTAGGGCTGGGGCTGCACACCCGACTAAAGAACTTCAAGCCATCAATCTCCAATTGTCTAAACACAGCACAAAGGGAGATTCGAGGCAATTACCCGAATAACTGGGTGTGGGGGGGTACTTTTCACCTAAATTATCTCGATTAAAATGCGACTCTGGAAAAAAGTCCCGGATTTTGAACCTTTGCCTGGGCTGTTCACCGTTGTCAAATTCAGACGACTTTTCTATAGGTCCTGGGATCAGAGTCGGGAATGGGAAAGGAAAGGCAGGTACTAGAAAAGTTTTAAAGGGGCTCGGGCCGCGCCACTGGGGAGGGGGTGGACGCCGGGACGCCCCCCTCGGGTCTGATAAAGCCCAGAAGCTGATCTAAGGTCAATAAACCAGGCGGCGTCAGGCTGCGCCGCAGCGTCGGAAAGCTCAGGGGCGGGAGTGAGCAGAGCTTAAGGCTGTGTCGGCAAATGAAAAGGAGCCCAGGACCCCAGGACCCGTGCGCTCCAGTCCCGTGGAGCCGTCCGCGGAGTGTGGGGCGCGCAACCCTGGAGGAGCGGGAGGGCCGGGGTCCCCACCTGCCGGAGTCCTGGAGGCCTCCGCCGAGTAACCTGGGCTTTCTCGGTGCCCCAGCAGAGCCCTGGTTGGCCCGGGTACGGGGACAACAGTTTTACCCCTGCCACGAGTTTGGAGAAGGAAACGAAAAGTGACAGTTTTTCAAGGGGCAGAGATGAGGTGAAAAGGGAAATGGAGATTCCCTCAAATAGTGCGAGCACACGAAAAGCCTCATCCTTAACCCTAAAGAGAGAACTGTCCTGAAGTGAGGAAAATCAGGAAGAAAGAGGATGACAGAATTGCTCATTAGCCATCAGTTTTGATCCCTTTCGTTTGGCTAATTCCTCTTGCATCAGCCTTTTGTTTCTGCCACTCCCCGCATGAAGAGAAGACAGATTAGGAGAATTAGTCGGCCCCAACCCCGCTGCTGGGATCTTCCGCGAAGAGCTTGCTCAGTTGCTAACTGATCTGAATTATCCAGGGTCTTCCCAAGAGACAGCCCAATACCACGTGCGCAGACTGCGGGGAAAGGTGGACACTGGAGCCTGGAAATGACGCAGCTCCCACCTGGGCCTCCCTGGGCCGCCTAAGGTCCTGAATCTCCCCACCCTCGGGCTAAACAAACTGCAAAGCACTAGCGGGCAGTGGGAGACGGGAGAGTGGAGTGGGTTGGGGAGTGGACTTCTTCAGCAACACGAGCCCCGAGGGGTCCCTTCTGACAAGCGTGACAACGCACTCTAAAGCCAGCAAATAACCACATCATAAAGATTTTTTTCCCCATTTTCCCCGCGTTGGGCCCAAGAGGCAGCGGAGCTCTCCCTACTGTCTCTCGTTCTGGAGGGACGAGGCTGATTTCTTGTAATGCATTTCAACCAATCTGGCGCCTCGTGGGCCAGGTCATCCCAGATGGATGTCGCGCCTGTCAGGGTCGCGGCCGGGAGAGCTCCACGGGTCCACGTTCCCAGGGCAGGGCTGTTGAGCCACAAAGGCCAGACAGCAGGCAGTGAGTTCCGAAACCCTGTCAGTCGCCTGACCTCCAAGTTGAGCCTGACGCTGTTCAGAACTGGTATCCTCGCTCTACGCGCGGGAGACCCCTTCCCGGACATAGAGCCCTTGGCCGCTGAGCCCACCTACTGCCCAAACCGCTTGAGCGCCTCTCGCCACGTGCTGGGCGCTCGAGGGACCCTGGACCTGTTTGCTCTACGCCACTGGCACCAGAGTCTGGGCAGCGAGGCGCGTGGCGAAGCCCCTGTCCCCATTTCTCCCCAGTCACGCCCGCCGAGTGACGTTCCTAAACGGGCCAAGGATCATGGTTACAGAGTCCCTGTTTCGCATGTGCGAGGCTTGGGTTCATCCCCAGCGCCGCGAAAGAAAGAAAAAAGAGGTGACTAGGGTTAGGGTTACCTCGGTGGTAAAGAAAAAAAAAATGAGTCCCCAGTTAGGCTGTACTACATCGGAGACCTTCCTACGTAGAGGACCCCGCAGTCCAGCGTCCCAGCCACCTCCGGCTCCAGAGAGCAAGGCACAGATTCAAACCCGGTTTTCTTTGGCAGGGTTTGGAGCGATATTGAGGGAGCATAGTTGACATCCCAGGGTCATGGGGTCAGTGGCCACGGAAAATGAGTCCTGGGAGACTCCAGCCAGATGTTTGCAGAGCCTTAAAATTTTAGACACCATCTCGGACCTGCATGGGACCAGGATAGAGAGCCCGATTCCCAGGCCTTGGCACGCGGGTTCGGGGAGTACGCCGCCTTGCAATTACTTCCCAACCTTAGCACCGTCTTCTAAAAACTGGGTTCTAGAAACCCGCCGGGCACTTACTGCACCACGTGACACTAAACCCCGAGGTAGTAACTGCAGCCCCTGCTGGACCCCGGCGTGGGTGCCGCGGCGGCGGGAGTGGGGGCAGTCCTTCCTGCCTGGGATGACTGCTGTCTTTTATTTGATACTGAGAAGGGTTGTTCTTCCCTCAACCGCCCACCCGCCATTCTTAGGAACGGTCTTTATTCGTTTATCATTATCTCCTTGACTTTCCTCGTTTTCTCCTTTCTCCCTAACCCCCGTTTCTCCTCCTCTTCTCCCTCTGTTCCAGAGTGTTCCTTTTCTGATTAATCAGAATCCTTCCCCCTTCCTTTGTTCTTTATCCATCGAATTGGTTCTTCTTTTCTAACTGTGAGCCTTTCCCTTGGACAGCTGTTCTTGGTCCTGCGGATCAGGTGGATTTACTGACTGAGGGGTGCTCCCAGATACAGCCCCTGCATCTGGCTGGGTCGCTTCCCACCCCAACCTGAATCCCTGAATCGTCATAATAAATTTGTTTTATGAATTTCGGTGTAGTGCTTACATAGAAGTTACTGGATCATGTTCAAAGAATCAGAAGCCTTCCTGTTGGTGAATTATTTTAAATTCTGATTATTAAACTACACAAGTAGCTGTTGTTGCCCTTAAGGAATTTCTTAAATATCCACCTCTAAATAGATATAAATAATTTTCCAAAGGCTAAGTCAATGTCTAACAAGATCTGTTCTCTCAAAGTCATGGCATAAAACATTTTAAATGCTGTAGAACTTATAA